GGTTTTGATCAAGTTTGTCATGGTTTAGATCCAAATTAATATATATATGTGTTTCAGCTCAATATTGATAGTTTGTTTAAAAACGCTTGTAATTAAACGAAGTTACACAATTTACCAACTGACTAAGAAGAAACTAAATTAGATGCTGTAATTGGCAAAGCGTACATTAAACAATTTAACTGTTCGTGACTTGTCTTTGTATGCAAATCGTACTACTACGAGTGTCTTGTAAAAGAATTAGGAATAAATGAGCACTCATGTAATCCCACATACAAAAACATCATTTGACAAGGATGAGATTTTGGTGATTCACAAGTCCTTAATAGCTTCAATGAATATTACTTTGAGCAGCAAATCGGAGGACTTACCTTGTTTTATTGGATACCTAAGCTTGACAAAATTACATACAAACAGCTGTACATTGCCAGCTCATCTGCATGTTCGACGAAAGAATTGTCCATTAGATTGACAAAGATTCTTTCCGCAATGAAAGAGGGTTTTCAGGAATACCGTGAAACTGTTTACTCGCGTAGTGGTATTTTTTTCATTGTTATTAATAAATGTAATGTCAGTATTACAAATCTAATCTTGAATCAATCCTAATCCTATCTTATTTTTGGGAAATATTTTTACATATTCAAATGTGACGTCATTTTGTGTGGTTTTTTTTTTTAGAATTTCAAATGTGACGTCACTTTGTGCGTTGAGGCTTTGGCTAACTCGGCTGTGTATTTTTATGTGTTGGATTAAGTTGTTTTATGTAATGTATCCGTTTTTATTCTGTAGTTAGTCCCCACTTCGGTTTTATCATGTATATCTATTATATAGTCATTTTATAAAATTTACTGTTTGCAAAATTATAAATTATTCTAAATAATAAGGAAGTTCTTGTCCCAGGCAGAAAACCCTTGCCGTGTTAGGCGCAACTTTTTTGGAAGTTTCGGTCCTCGGTGCTCTTCAGCTTTGTACTTGTTTTGGCTTTCAAACTTTTTTCATCTGAGCGTCACTGGTTGGTCTTGTGTGGACGAGACGCACGTCTGGCGTATTGGATTTTAAGCCTAGTACCTTTTGTAAGCTATTATTCGTGTGTTTCTTTGTCCTATATGTTCTCCCATTTATTTGTATTGTGGTCCTGTCATGTGATGTTGTCGTTTTGGTGTTGTGTTTGACGTTGCCATAAAAGCGGGAGGTTTGGCATGCCACAAAACCAGGTTCAACCCACCATTTTTTTCTTAAAATGTCCTGTACCAAGTCAGGAAAATGGCCATTGTTATATTATAGTTCGTTTCTGTGTGTGTTACATTTTAATGATGTGTTTTTGTTGTGTCGTTGTTCTCCTCTTATATTTGATGCGTTTCCCTCAGTTTTAGTTTGTAACCCGGATTTGTTTTATCTCTATCGATTTATGAGTTTCGAACAGCGGTATACTACTGTTGCTTTTATTAATCATATATCGATTTTAAAAAACTCTTAAAGAACTTCTGAATAAATGTAAATCGTTTACTTTTTCAACCCTGTGTACCACCATTCCCTATGTGTAATTGAAAAATCGTCTAAAAGAAATAATTTAAATCTACAATGCCTTTCAACATAAAAATGGTAGCGCACGCTATACATTTATTACTTTTGGATACCTTACCGCATATTTTGTTAATAGTGAACAAAAAAATAAAACATGCTTCACATAGGAACAAGTGACCAGTATGCTGGAGTTTCTTATTGACAAAATATTTGTTGAATTTGGAGGTAGACTTTGTCACCAAATTGTCGGTATTTCTATTGGAGCGAACTGTGCGGCAGCGACCTCATCTTATCTTCATATTAGTCGGGGTTCCTTCAGACATTTGTTAAAAACAAGAAGATCAAAAAAGCCAGATCATTTAATTTCAACATTCATATATATTGTTCTTTCCATTAACAATCCAGACTTTTCTGATTGAATTCCATTAATATATCCCTCGGAACTAGAAATTAAAGGAACATCAGAAACGGCTTCCTCTGCCTCATTTTTAGACTTATACCTCGAATTTGACACGAACGGTCATCTTAGTACCAAAATCTATGACAAACGAGACGATTTTAATTTTAAAATTATCAGTTTCTCCAACCTTAGTAGCAATATACCAACTTCTCCTGCATATGGGATATACATTTGCCAACTCATTCGATATTCAAGAGCTTGCAGATGCTACTCAGACTTTGTAAACCGTCACCAGTGTCTGAGCAGAAAGTTGATGAACCAGTGCTATGTCAAAGAACGTCTCGTCCTTTTTCCAAAAAAGTTCATCGGAAGACCTTGTGGGTAAATATTCCTTTTCAACTTCACAAATGATAAACGATGGTCTTTAAGTATAGATTCTAAGCACTGACGTTGTTTGTCACCTTAATGACGTGTTATGGTACTCTTTTATTTGTCTTTGTAAATTATTACTTTAACCGTTTAGTCTATTTTTGGCCCAATCCATTTGACGTGGCTCGGTACTTATATATCCCGTCATTGTGTTATTGTGCTATGGTTAATTTTTGTATTCTTGTCTTTCGTTTTTGCTTATGTGCTTTGTCTATATGCCTTTTTGTTTTTCTTTGTTGAAATATTTGTTTTGTTTTTATAGTGACTAAGATTATAACACAATGTTGCCTGCTGTACCTTTATGCGACTGTCATACATGTGAGAGGTAAAGCTGGCTATAAAACCAGGTTTAATCCACCATTTTCTACAGAAAAAAATGTCTGTACCAAGTCAGGAATATGACAGTTGTTCTCCATTCGTTTGATGTGTTTCAGTTTTTGATTTTGCCATTTGATTAGGGACTTTCCGTTTAGAATTTTCCTCGAAGTCCCGTACTTTTGTTATTTTGCTTTTATAATTCAATAGTCACTGCTTTTTTAAAATATCTTTTGAGATAATAATTACAAAAACAGAAAGCGCTGCTTCTGGTTCACATAGATTATGTTCTCCGTATGTCCATGATTGACTCTGTCGATGATATCGTGAGCGGCATCACTTATAAAATTTGTAAAAACGTCTACTTCAATTTGCAAAACGTATCAGCTAGTCAAAAAGTAATTTCTGTTCTACTATTTTTCTACTAAACTATATATCTGTTGTTTTATTTTGAACCAGTCTATGATGAATAAAAGGAGATGTGGGGTTATACGCCCATGCTATAGTATCCCAACTACAAAACTAACCAAACGATATCAAGAGGACACAATAAGTCTTCAACCATTCACGAAACAAATAGTTAACGCGTGACATGGATAACAGTTAAAACTTATTTGTTTTATAAACTACTAGTAAAATTAAAAAAAAAAAAATACACACAAGTTCAGAATTTAAATATATGAAAAATCACAATTCAGAATTAGAAGGAAGCCGATTTAATGTCCACTTTTATCAATTATTATTACTAACGAATAAAAATGATTATGTTTTTGTAATATTGTATAATACATTGGTTTTCTCATTTAATTTTTTTTTTACATATAATTTTGTCGGAGCCTTTTATAGCTTGATAAAAGGTATGGATTTTGTTCATTGTTGAAGGCCGTACGACGACATATAGTTGTTTACATCTAAGTCATTTTGGTCTCGGATGGATAGTTATTTCATTGGCAATCAGACCGCATGTACTTGATATATATAATACTAAATTGAATGTGCGTATATATGTCCTTTTGTATTCCAAATAAAACGATTTAAAAAAGAGTATTTCAATATATATAATGTCTGTTTATTTTGATCGTTACTCTTCCTTCATTCACGAATAGAATCACATAACTGAACCATGTTCAACATGAAATAAACCATGACACGAATGAACCAAACCATGACACCAAATATTCTGTAATCTCAAATTGTGTGCACTAGGGGCTGTTTTTCGGGAAAATTGACGGCAGTTTTATATCATAACAAAATATGTGATGTAGCAGACAGTAAGTAAACTACTTTTCTTTATGCATTAGAAACTTTTAAATTTTGACATACGCAAGCATTATTCTGTGTTAAATTAATAATTATATGATACAAATTTTGATGTACTAACATATTAGCTATAAACAAAGATACTTACCAGCTTGAATTTGTTGTCATTAGTTCCTTTAACAAACTATTCGTATGTTTATATTTTGACACTGTTTGTCATCAAAAACACTTAACACAACCATGTTCATTTTAACCAAACTATGACAAAATCACTGTACTAAACGCTTCTCGATATGACGAGGTTACTACCCGTGTGAATACACAGAGCAAAATATGTACATCATTTACAATTATACTGTCACAACAGTTAGTACTTATTTAGCTAGGAGGGCACACATGGGAATTTATAAATCTAATTAAAGTAAACATCTTAAAAGACTTTCTCAATTTAGATTTTTTGTTAAATTCATAATTTTCTTTAACATTAATATATTTGGACGATTTACATATTTTTTTATCAATACATGTGTTTCTTTTTACTGACATCTCTTTGCACTTTATAATATAATGTAACTCATCTCCAAGATCTTTTGAGTTACACAATTTACAAGTTCGTCTATCCCTCAGAATATTTGTCCATATTCCTATCTCAATGGGTAATTTATGATTGATGGTTCTAAATTTGCATAAAGTGTAAATATCACGAAATTCTAAAATATCAAAATAGTTCTCCCAAACGCATCCTTAAAACTTCGATAATTTAATGTCTTCGAACATGCTTGCACATTTGAAAACCATGTTTGTTGAAACTGATCTTGGAGTGATGTTCTGAATGTTTTTTTTTTTAACCAAATGTCACTAATACCTGTTTGAGTCAATAATTATCATAATGATAAAATATAAAATTATAATATAACTTAACTTCAAATGCACAGACTTTTTCGTAATTGTATGAAATAATTCGTTATTTAAATTTTGCGGTAATGGAAAGTTTTATAATGTTTAAAAATAACTTATTTCTCATCAAAAATACACTTCCGGAAAATCAAATTATTTCCTTTCGATTTGATTTCAAAACAGTATTCGGCCATATAAGAACGCCATTTGAGGAATTTACCTTATCTTCTTATTTTCATAAGAGACGATGCAACACATGGATGATCTGACGTTCGGTGAAAAGCTAAAAATAGCAGTTAATACGGATGATGTCGACGAACTTCTCCGTGTATGCTGTGATAGTTCAGATAGGAAGAACATTTTAGAATTTAAAAACGATAATGGACATTGTTTATTACATCTTGTTGTCGGTTTTGGTACCGTTGACCTTATGCGAACTTTGATTGACCTAGGTGCTGGTGTAACTGAGGACTACTGCAATCATAAAACCATTTTACAAACTGCCTGTTGCCAAGGTAACACAGAGGTTGTAAGGTTTTTATTACAAAATGACAAGAACTTGAAGAACGACGCAACAAGAATTGAATTCAATAACGATAAATGCCTTTACTATTATGCTGCAAGATCGGGGAACATTGAAACAATCCAAAGTTTACAGCATAATGGTCATTTGGATATTAACCAAATTTTCCCAAAAGGAAGTACTGCATTATTGAAGCTTGTGAAAAAGAATGACTGCAAGGGCATTGAGACCTTGTGTCTAAGTGGAGCTGATGTAAATATAGGGACTATCAACAAAACTATGTATGACCCTGGATATAAAGCAATCCATCTTGTTTCAGAAGGTATCAAGAACGGTGCTGAAATGATCCAGATACTCTTGAAATATGGTGCAAATGTAAATGAACCATTTATAAGATCTAAGCTTAACCAGCAACCTCTTTTTATGGCGATTAAAGTGGGGCATGTAGGTAATGCTAAAGTGCTGTTAGAGCATGGTGCTGATATATCATTTAAGGGGAAATCTTCTAAAGAAACAATTGGGTGTTTTTGTCTAGCGATAAAAAAATGTCCATCACTAGTTTCAGAATTAATCAAACGTGGTGCAAACCTGTACGAGAGGCACAACAAAAAGTCAGTTCTGATGATTGCTTTAGACAGTGACGCAGGAAGTGAGGCTATTGAGGCTTTAGTTAAAGCTGGTGCAAATGTAAAGTTTGGAAGAGACGGAAAAACTGTTATACAATGTTGTACACGTTATGGTAAGTTCTTTTATTGATACATCGATATTCCACACATTAAACTAAAACTAGATTTATTTAAACGCAATATGTTTTCTCTCGTGTGATTGAACCGAACAATACCCACAAGGAAAGTTGAATGCACAAAAAGTATTTTTTTTATTTTAATGAATAAATTATACTTTATATATGTTTATTTCTGTCACAGAAAAAGCTATGTCATCCGAAAAATGTTGAAGATGAAATGTTTAATTCACTTATTATGTCAGTCACAAAAGAAAAGCAACTTATCGAGTTAATTAATATGTTTATAAAATTTTAAATTGCATATACATTTACCAACAACAAACATGACAAATATTATTTAACAATCATGCCATTTCCGGGTGAAGATGTGGTATAATTGCCAATGAGACAACTCTCCATCACAAACCAAATGACACAGGAGTTACCAAATATTGGTCAATGAACGAAGTACAAATATTATATACAGCAACAAACGACAACCACTGAAATAGTATACAGGCTCCTGACTTGGGACAGTTACATACATAATGTGGCGGGGTTTAACATGTTAGCGGGTGCCTAACCACAGACAGGACAACGTATTAACAAACTATAAAAATCAGTTGAAAGGGGTTTAACTCAACAAGCACTCATCTCAAATGATTCGACATAGTACAATAATGTGACACATTGACTGAGTTGTCTACATGTGTATATTGTAGGTCTAGGTGTCTCAACAAACGGTCCGAGTTGTCGTTTTCGTTTTGAAGTTCACAAAAGAGTACCTGTGAAACAGAGGCAATTTACATACATTTGTTCGCCATAACTAAACAATTAAAGAAATTTTACACAAGAAAAAAAAAATCTCATACTATTCATTGCTATTTGAAAAATTTTATTGATTTTTTTATTGTAATAAATTTCTACCTATTTAATGTAGTATTACCATGACTACATGTAGCAACGAAAATAATATCGTATAGATAACTAAGACGCGACTAGGGGTTGAGTATAAATTGAGAAACAATAATCTACTAGAATAAATATTGTTAAAATATTTTTATCGTTCCCTTTTACCCGAATGTTACCTACTGAATAAGACATATATATATCACAAGGTTAAAACTTTGTACTTATATGAGCGACATGACAGGTGCCACATGTTTTTGTTGGGGTTCGTGTTGCTCAGTCTTTAGTTTTCTATGTTGTGTTCTCTGAACTGATTTTTGTTTGTTGTTCCTTCTTTTTAGCCGTTACGTTGTCAGTTTATTTTCGACTTATAAGTTTCAATCTCTTTTACTACATTTTAAAAGCGAGACATGGCGATACTACACCCCCTCGTCGTCATTGTCGTCGGCGGCGGCGGTGTACCACAAATATTCACTCTCTGGTTGGAGTTTTGGAAATTTTAATAACTTTCTTAAAACATCCTGGGTTTCTACCAACTTGGACAGAAGCTTGTTTATGATCATAGGATAGTATCCAGAAGTAAATTTTGTAAAAATAAAATCCTGTTTATCCGTATTTTAATTATAAATGGACTTAGTTTTTCTGCCAGTTTAAAATATAGTTTGATAAAACAGTATTTATTTCAGACCAACTAAAGTCATTCCTTAATGCTGGAATATCTGTGGAGAATATCGAGTCTATACACAAAATATCTACAGTAGGATTGGCTCTGAAAACCGTAATTAGTAGTTTCTCCGGTTATAGTGGAAGTTCAAACCTGGATGGGCTATCTGAATTTTTAATTAATAATGAGATATCAGAGCTGGTTGAAAATGAAGTTGTTGATTTGATTTCAAACGGTGCCGATCCAGATATGTTAACTAAGGAACATGAGATACCATTGATTATGGCTATCGAAAAGCGAATGAAAGGTGTCTTCAAAACTTTAATAGATGCAGGTGCCAACACAAATAAACTGGGGAAAGACGGTAATTCGGCCATCCATTTGTGCTGCATAGGTTAGTTACTGTGTACATCTTTTTTTTGAAACTTCTAAACAACAGCAGAGATCGTTGCGCATGCGTGACATAGCAGGACGTCCCTTCTCTGACAGCTCAAATTTTGCCGATATTCAATCGTTTTGCAACCTAGTATGCACCTACTAATGTGCACAATTGAACTTTACTAAAATCTGTGTTCTGTAAACTCACTAAACATTCAAAACGTGTGAAATCTGAACATACCTGGAAAATTTTCTTGGTAACAAAGGACGCGCACCAACTCACTTCCTATCCTACTTCCGGCATGACTTCCAATTTCCGGGAAAACAACAACAAAGTGTGGTCACTTGCCACTATTGCTGGTATACTTCTTATCACTCTGCAAAGCCCAAGTAAGATTGAAATATTATGTGCAGAAAACTCATCGATCATCACAAACAACAGTGTATATTGTAAGTCAAACATTACATCAGACTATAGAACATATGCCCCCGAAGCATTTATGAACCTCAGACACTCTATACAACGGGTTAATTCTCGCCATCTCATGTATTTAAGCTACATCCTACTACTATTGTCATCAGACACAGAACTTAACCCAGGTCCACCTAAATACCCATGCCAAATCTGTAGTAAAGCTGTCACCTGGAAACAGCGAGCAGTAGCATGTGACAACTGTAACTTGTGGTACCATGCTAAATGTATGGATATGAACACTATTGTTTATAAAGCTCTAGAGTCATCAAACTCATCTTGGTCATGCTGTAACTGTGGCATCCCAAACTTCTCTAGTACCCTGTTTGACACTAGCATTGACACTTCGAATATCTCGTCTAGCCTCAGTAACACATCAATCGACAACACAAACATGAGCGCTCCACTGCATACTTCTAGTCCTTCAAAAAGCAAACAAAAGAGCAACTTACCTCTCAATTCCAACATAAAGTTTGTAGCAATAAACTGTCAAAGCATTAATGCTAAAAAACATAGTTTCTGGAACTTCTTATACACTTGTAACCCAGACATCATATCCGCAAATGAAACTTGGCTAAAACCAACCATTCATAATAGCGAAATACTACCTGATGAATCTGACCTTGAAATTTTCCGCAAAGACCGGAAAGATGGCTACGGTGGCGTCATGCTTGCGATCAAATCAAACATTATCAGCAATGCTATTGAAATACCAAACACAGAATGTGAAGTCATTGCTCGTAAGATTGACTGTGACTCCAACAAATCCTTAATAGTCATTTCAGCTTATCGTCCTCCTAACAGTGGCATTGAATATGCCATGTCTCTGTGTTCCATCATCCGAGACATTTGTTTTAAATATAACAACTCGACCATCTGGATCGGAGGTGATCTCAACCTACCTGATATCAACTGGTCGTCAAACACCATCACATGTAACCAGTACCGCAAAGACATCAATGACACCTTCTTGTCTTTAGAGAACGATCTTGGGCTTATACAATCGGTTCAATTTCCAACAAGAGGTCCAAACATTCTGGACTTATTCCTGACCAACAGACCATCGCTCATAAATAGATGTGAGCCAGTACCTGGAATAAGCGACCATGAAATCGTTTTCATAGACTCCAGTATAGCCGTCATGAGACAGAAACCGATCAAAAGAATAATCCAAATGTGGAAGAAAGCAGATATAACCTCCCTCAAAGACGATGCAAAGTTGTTGGCTTCAGAATTTACCAACAAATTAAACGTACAGTCCGACATTAACACCTTGTGGAATAACTTTAAAGATAACTGACTCACTATAATAGATAAAAATGTACCATCTAAATCTACACCTACAAGGATATCACAACCATGGATAACCAAGGAACTCCGCTCGATGTCTCGACGAAAACAAAAGATCCACAATAGGGCCAAGAAGTCGGGTAAAACAAAGGATTGGAAAAAGTACAAGAACATCAAAAAACTACACCAGAGAAAATGTAGAGAGACATATAACCAATACATTAACAACATGATATGCAATGATGATTCCAGCCCAAAATTGTTCTGGAATTATATTAAGAACAAGAAAAATGACCGCTGTGGGGTGGCTCCACTAAAGCGGAATGGACTCTGCTTTAGTGACAGTGAAATCAAAGCTAACATCTTGAACTCACAATTTTCTTCGGTCTTCACAACAGAGGACATGTCCAACCTGCCAAACTTAGGACAAAGCTCAACCCCAGACATCAAATCCATCTATGTCAATCCTACCGGGGTCGTCAAACTCCTACAAAAGCTAAACCCACATAAAGCTACTGGCCCAGACAGCATTTCAGCACGCTTCTTGAAAGAGACGGCAAAAGAAATAGCGCCTGCCCTAACTCTGATATTCCAGGCCTCGATTGACTAGGGCTAAATTCCATCTGACTGGAAAACAGCTACAGTCGCTCCAGTATTCAAAAAAGGAGACAGAAGCCAAGCTTCCAACTATAGGCCTATCTCCTTAACTTCCATCTGTTGCAAAATTAACGAGCACATTATCCATGGTAGCATTCTTACTCACTTAGAGCACTATAACATTCTGGCTGAAGAACAACATGGCTTCCGTAAACGAAGATCCTGTGAGACACAGCTCGCATTAACTATCCACGACCTTGCTAAAGACCTCGATGCTGGCGAACAAATAGATGGGATACTTCTCGACTTTTCCAAAGCATTCGACAAGGTTCCTCACCAACGTCTTCTCCTAAAACTCAACCACTATGGTGTCCGAGGAAGTATCCTCAAATGGATTGAAGACTTCCTGTCGGATAGAACCCAGAAAGTTGTTCTAGAAGGTAAATCGTCCTCAGTAGACCCTGTCACATCCGGTGTTCCGCAAGGTACTGTCCTAGGGCCTCTTCTTTTTCTCGCCTACATCAATGACATGCCTAGCTGCGCAAAATCACAGACTAGACTCTTCGCAGATGACTGCCTCATGTACCGTAGGATTAGATCTACTGACGACGCATCACTCCTACAAAAAGACCTCGACTGCCTCATCGATTGGGAGCAAAAATGGCAGATGCTGTTTAACCCAGACAAATGCGAAGTAATCTCTGTCACAAAGAAGCGGAACCCAATCCATCATGACTACCTTATCCATGGTCATACCTTTCTTCATGTCGACTCAGCAAAATATTTAGGCCTTAACATATCAAAAAATTTATCTTGGAACACCCACACAGATGCCGTCACTAAGAAGACAAACAACACCCTGACTTTCCTAAGAAGAAACATCGGACATTGCCCACCAAAAGCCAAAGAACGAGCATTTAACATTTTCGTCAGACCAACTGTAGAGTACGCCACAAGTGCATGGGACCCCACACAAAACGGAACATCAACAAACTTGAAATAGTACAACGCAGAGGGGCCAGATTTGTTTCTAATGACTACCAACAAACAAGCAGTGTTAGTACCATGCTCAACAACCTTGGATGGGAAACCCTACAATCTCGAAGAACCAAAGTTAAAACCATCTTACTATACAAGATAGTCAACCACCTCGTAGACATCCCAACAGAACCATACCTCATACCAACAGGTGTTTCCATTCGAGGACACAACACCAGATACCTCCAACCACACTGTCGAACCCTAGTATACCAACATTCCTTCTTCCCGAGTGCCATCAGAATTTGGAACACCTGCCACAGCCACTAGTCAGTTTGCCAACCCTCGATGGGTTCAAACAGGCACTGGCTACCTCCACCGTCTCCTAAATTGTAATTATTGGTTTTTAACTGTAAATACTCTTTTTTCAACTGTATATAGAGGAGGACTGTACTGCTATGGTACGTATGCGTCAGTGTGAATATACTCAAAATGAGTCCTACACTTAACCAGAAGAAGAAGAAGAAGAGCAACATAACATAATTGCATATGGAATGGGTACCCAATTATTTCTCCTAAATATTCATTTCAATTTCATCATAATTGAGGGCGAATTGTTTATTTCCTATATTTGGCGCATATTTCAACTTCTTTCTAACCCAAAGGCTTGTATCCCCTTCATGGTTTCTTGAAGAAATATTGAAGGATCATGAACAGCATTCAAGAGAACAATACTGTTTCGAGAATAGATACGATAATTATTCATTTCCTGATTAAATTGTAAATGAAATTTGAACCATGTGTTCTAACAATCATCTACATATACATGCCAGAATCACACAACTAAGAATAAAATATCTTTCTATATGTACTAGTAACGGTTTTACATGTCAATCCTTTCAGACAAACATTTTATTTTCGTAGTAACCATATGATTGTACATAAATATCGTTCCTTAAACATCTAAGTAAGTACATTCCATACAACGTCAATTGTGTTCATTCACTTGCACACGATTACGTATGTTTTTTTGTTACCTTTCGGTAAATGAATGGGACAATTTGTTTCGTTTTCTGGCACGTTATTTTGGAATGAACAAACGCTTAGCTTCTGTATGTTCGTTTTATAGCATGAAAACAAAAGGGAAATGTGCAATCCATGATAAATTATCATTATTTTAAAATCCTTATTACATGTTACTACGACATTCTCAGGACGATGACCTAGGATATAATTGTATCTCACCAACAAGAAAGAAAGTTAAACGTGGTTCACGTATTCATCCGTATACAAGTGGCACATGTGTATATTGTTTCATAATCCGGTATATGATAATTGTGTTGCTGCATAAAAAACATTACAAAATGATTTAAAAATATCAAAAGATAATATTTCGACCTCACTGTTTGAAAATCAGGCGACGACACAGCATTACAAAAATATTTAATTCTTTTTACGTTTTTAGAAACATTGTACATTTCATTGTCGGTTGCATTGCCTGTCAATTCACGTGCATTCTAAGGTTGTTGTTGTTTTTGAATCTTTCGGCCAATGAAATGGGATGCTACAATTCGTTTTTTTTTTTTTTTGTGATACGCCATAATGTTATCACTGCATTATATAATTATCAAACGCTTAATCTACAAAAAAACAAAACAACGATTAGGTTGCACCCACACAAATC